GGCGTGGGAGGAGGAGCCCCGGGAGGAGAAAGGAACGCCGGTCACCACAGGGTTCTTGTAACGGAGCTCCCAGCGTGCCCTCAGACGATTCTAGCAGCCTCCAGGTAAAAGCTCTGCGTCTTAAGATTGACTCCATGCACAAGCACAAACTGCTCCTCGGGTCCTCCACACAGTGTATGTCCCGCCAGGCACCCACTGTGCTCTGAGCTGCACATTTTGCTCCTGTGTCAAGCTCATCAGCCCAGTCTGGGTGGCTTCAAATGGCTTTGGTAGGCCTCTGCCTGCAGTCTCTTGCTGTGGCTGGATGTCCATAAGTTCTCGGGGTTGATCCCCCCGTTCAACGTCTATCTCTGGGTCTCCCCCACCAAGATTATGTGTGTCTCCCAGTGTCACCAGGTTCTGGGTGGCAGAACTTCAGTAGGGGCGTTGAGGGGTGGCGCCTTGACATTGTATGTTTGCCTCTATAAACTGGAGCTGTGTGTTTATTGGGATGTGTGTATTGATTGTGGCTTTTGGGTGTGTGTTGGCGTGTGCGTGTTAGCTTTGTGTGTACAGTGTGCAGCATATGTTGATTTTGTGTGGTTGGGTGTCTGTCGGTTGTACGTGTATGCGTCACATTGCATTTGTTTGAGAGGTGTTGTCTGGGTGTGTGAATTTGTTGGCTGTGTGTGTATGCGCTGGGTGTGTATGGTTCGTGGTGCGTGCTGGCTGTGTGTGTGTGTGCGCGTGCGCGCGCTCGCGCTGCTTGGTTGTGTGTTGGGTGCGCGTCTTGGTTGAGCATGTGTTGCATTGTGTTAGGTTGTGTGTGTGTCAGATGTGTGTGTTGCAGTGTATGTTGGTGTGTTGTGTGTACGACGATGATGGCGAGGGTGACGAGGATGCGCGAGCACAGAGCTCGGTCTCGGAGCGAGCCTGCTCCAGCGTCCTGCTCCGGCGCCGCAAAGAGCAGGGGCTGTAGGCCTGCGGGGCCGCGGGGGGGCGCTGTGCAGGAGGCAGGCCTGTGGGATGAGAGGGTCCTCCTAGGCCTGGAGCAGGGGTGCTGCGCGAGGCCGGAGTGGAAGCTGTCGAGTGGAGCGAAAGGAGATCCGAGAGTCTGGAGTGGGGACTCCGGGGGCTCTGGAGAATGGACACTTGGTGGCCGTGGGTAGGGGGAGCAGGGACGGTGTTTCCCTGGAGCGGCCCGAGTCGGGGCTGGGGGAGTGTCCCGGCCGCGCGGCGGTGCGAGCTGCTGGGAGGGCGGGGACGGAGCCGGGGAGGCCGCACGGCCCCGGGGGCCCGGCCAGGCCGGCGCCAGCCGCCAAGTTGAAAGGCGGCCGCAGCCTCTCCTCGCTGTTTCCCACTGCGCCCCCGAGGGCTCCAGGCGAGGCGCAGGCCGGGCTCACCTCCGGGCCGCGGGTCACTAAGGGGGGCATCTGGGTATGGGACCCCGCCAGCCTCACGGCCCGTAGGATTCGCACTTGAGGTCCCCCGCCTCCCGAGTAGCTATCTCCACTAGGCCTCCTGCGCGACCTGCGCCTTCAACCCCGGGGTCAACGAGCGGAGAAAGGAACCCTAACACAAGGCGCTCTCGGCGCGAGCTCTCCGGCCCCAGCCCAGCCCCGCAGATCGGCGACCGCCCGGGCCCCCGCGGACATGCGCGGAGCGAGAGCGCCCCAGGGCCCCTGCCGCGAAGTAATCTCTCCTACCCGGGCTTCCACGCCACAGACCTTGGGCCTTTTCGGTCCAGCCTGCATGGTCAGAAGCTGAGTTTGCAGATTAAGCCTTTGCCTCCTCCCCAACAAAACGAAAATGCCTTCACAGACAGCTTGCAGGGCAGGTGAGATGCCCCTTTTGTTCCCCGAGGGACGGGGCTTGCTCGTGGTCAAAGCACGAAGGGGTTAAATTCGTGGAGCTAGGGCTGCCTGGGCTCCCCGAGGCCGGTTTTCCAGCGATACGCGCGCTTCGTGGGCCTTTTCTAAAACCAAAGAGCCGTTCAGGCACTAGGTGACCCTCAACGAGAGAGGACTGACTACGCAGTGGGGGAAAGCGTGGACACTGGCGTGTAATCTGTGTTCGAATCCCTGCTTTCCCCCTAATGGGCTGTGTGACCCTGGGAAATCAAATAACCTCTCTGGACCGCCATACGCTCTCTTGTTTAATAAATAAATAAATAAAAATCCCATGAGGTTCTTGGGAGGCGCGGGGGAGGCGGTTTGCCCGGGAATTCCTCTGGGCGCCATAGGTGGTGACTCAAAGTGAATGATCCGGTGTTTCCTGCCAAAGGAGGAAACTAGATCCGTAAAGGACCAGGCCTGGGAACCCCCTGCCCACTCTGCCCTCGCTTGATAAACAAGCAACTGGGTTCGGAGGACTGGGCTGAGAGAGCAGCGGTGCCCCGAGGACCGCCGCCAATTCCCACCAGGCCTGGCTGAATCTGGCCCCAGTCTTCACCCCACACCAGTGAGCCGCTCCGATCTAGCAAACATTTATTGGGCACCTTCTGTGTACATGCTGTATTGAGAAAGGGAATTCGAAAACAAAAGGGGGGAAAGAAAGAGCTAGACGAAAAGAAACAAAAATGGATAAAGTAGGGGGCACGGGAGTGGAAGGAAACCCGGACCCAAGCCGGCAACGCGGGCGGAGGCGCGCGCAGAGGCGGGCTCGAGCGGGGGTCCCTGGGCGGCGACCTCCTCCACCCGGCAGAGGTGCTTGCGTGGGGGAAGGGGGCGCGCCCGCCTCGCCTGCAGCTACCGCCTCTCTGGAGCCGCGGCGCGTCTGCAGAGCGCGAGCCGTTGCTCATTACTGCAATTATGTTGCTCTAAGTTTGCCTCGACCCTAAATTGCCAAACTTCGAGGAGCCAGGAGGCCCGGGAGTCCGAGCCAGAGGAGACACCTGATCCTGCCCCAGCATTCCCCTACCCGCACTAGAGTAAAAGACTCCAGGGCTGCGGACGCACCGTGAACTGAGAAAAATCAGATCCACCCCTATTCCCTGGGCGCCCTCTCCCGCGGGGATTCGTTGACACTTCCCCAAGATCCTGGGAGAGGGAAGGATTCCCAGACCCATTTCGCAGATGAGAAGACCGAGGAACGGAGAAATGGAATATCTTCCCTACCCAAAGTCAGGCAGTCAGTAAGCGGCAGGGCTGGGATGAATCCCGTCGGCTTGTCTGACTTCAAGTTCAATACCATCCCCAGGACAGGAGAATCACCAGGGGTGTTCCAGAAAGGAACCCGAAAAATTTGTGAGGAGTCAGTGTTCTGCGCTCCGTCACTGTCGGGGTGCTTAGTTTATAGAGAGGAAACAACTCCTTTCTGCGTCTGCAAGAAGCAGCGATGTTCCTCAGCCCTCAAGCGCCTTTAAAGGACTACGTGAGTCTGAGACCTTTTTAGGTCTAACTCCTCTCTCTTGGGGACGAAGAGGCCCAGATTCGGGTTCTGACCGCGCTTCTGGGAACCCAGAAGTCTGTCTGGAGCGGCGGAACTGCACTCCACAGCAAGCTTGCTTTCTTTTCTTAAGGAGGGGAGTTGTGACATGTTGGGACTTCAGCCCCGGCCTCCGGGACGGAACGTTTGCCGGAGCAATCGGAGATTGGAGGATCGGAGACCCGGGGTACCCTGGAACTTGCCCGGCGCCAGCTCAGAGCCCGCCCGGAGTGCGTGCGCGCAGCCCTGCGCTCTCTTGGAATTCCTAGGCAGAGCTCCGGCCCCTGGGGCTAGAAACCGCTCCATGTGCCCCAGACTCGTTTTCCACCCCGCACCACGGCCTCTAGCTGTGGAGACTTCGACCCTCCCCAAGTCCAACGCCAGGTCCTTGGAGTTTCTAACAACCCTTGGCCTGCTGGCTTCCAGGGTTAACGGCTTGCGGCAAAAGCCGCCTGGGGCTGTCCTGCGTGGAGTTTGGAGGCGCGGGCCAATGTGGGACTGAGGCAGGGCCGGGGGGGGAGGGGAGGGCACGCAGATCTGGTGAGAATTAAGCCAGGGCCCCCAACTCAAAAGGGAACAGAGCGGTGTCTGGAACATAGTAGGCTCTGTTTACTACGAGGTCATTTTCTGCCATCAACATCCTTGCAGAATTCCCCCCAGAAGGCTAAACTTGGCGCTCGTTCAAATATATTCTCCTGGAAGCCTGAATCTAACCTACTATATAAAAGAAAAACCAAGTTTGTGAGCGTTTGGAGGCAGGGGCTCATGCAAAGGACACGCCAAGGTGGGAAGTGTACTGTCGCCTTGGGTTTTCAGTAAAGTGTTTTGTTTTTAAGGGTCGTAATAGGGGGTGTGAAGGCGTTCACATTCTGGCAGCTCAAAATTAGATCCACAAACCGGGTCTCCACCAGCGCAGCGATTTAGAGAAGCAAAGCAATGGCCTCCACCCCCCACCTGGCCTCCTGTGGGAAAAACAGGTTTGCGGGGGTGGGAATTGTCTGGATTAGCTGTCTGCAGTCATCAAACCATTTGGGTGATTCGCTTTGTTTTCATAGACAGGTTAAAAGGGAAGAAAAAAGAAAGAGTCGGTTATGGGTCGCCTGAGCAAGTGTCGATTTCAGCTTAAAGTGAATTGGAAAATTGAGCCTAATTATCCTAGGTAATTGCTTCAATTCTCCACTTGACTTTGCTAATGCAGATCTGTCCTGCGTGTTCAAAAAGACACCCCCTTCTGTCCCTGAATATCCTGTTGTCACCTTTGAAAGGTGCCAGTGTAAAACTACCATCATGGTGAAAAGCAATTGCATATGTGAACAGAAGGCAAGAAGTAAAATCCAAATAAAAGCCTAAATCAATAAAGAGATCGTTTCTTGTAGCTTAAAATTAATTTATTTAACAAATATAGCTATAATATAAATGATAATAAAATTTCAAATATACAGTATATTACACACAATCCCTTCCAAAGGGATTCTTGAGAGTCACACAAATGTACTGTTAAATAGAAACAGGAGTTTTAAATTTTATTTTACAGTTTTTTCTGGTACTGGTGAGAGAGGTCCCTTCAACCTACCTTGGCAACGCATCTGTGTCACCCCCCTTCCCCCCACCGAAAGCAGACGTTGTGCAGTTGAAGTTCTCTGAAGTTTTCCGATGGAAGGACGGGGGTTTCCATCTCCCCTGGCATGCTCTTCTCTTTTTCTCCAACTGTTCTTATTTTCCAAAATCTTCACACGGGAGTTTCTCTGTGCGTCTCCTGCCTGGTTGTCAGGACAGGACGCAGCCGCCTAGTGCCGGTCCGACCACTAACTCTGCTGGGGACCGCTGGGAAGTCTACACCTCTCTAAGTTTCTCCATCTGTAACACAAAGGGTAGATCTAGATTCTAGAAGAGTGTTAAGGGCCCCTTCCAGCCACTTTTGGGGGAGGGGATCAGACATAGGAGAGCCAACGCAGGGAGCAGCCGAGGATCAACCGGAGCAGCGTGGGGGTTAAAGGGGAAGGAGCCGGGCGGGGCCGAACAAGGGAGCTCGTTGCGGGGGGGGGATGGCACCTGCCGCTCGCAGGAGACCGGGGCTGGAGGAATCAGCTGGTACCACAGGGAGGCGACCCTGGGACCCTCTATGTCAGGTGGTACATGCTGTAGCCCACATGGGCTGTGTAGAGTCCCACGGGCGCCACCGGCAGCGCGGCGCGCTGGAAGGGGCCAGAGGCCCCGTAGAGCGAGGCGCCCGCCGCGGCCGCTACCGCCGCGGGGCCGCCGAGCGGGAAGGAGAGGCCAAAGGCAGCCGGCGGCAGCATGGGCTTGGCGGCCATCTTCAGCTTTTCCAGCTCTGCCTCCTGCAGTCTCTTGGCCTTGGCGCGGCGGTTCTGGAACCAGATCTTCACCTGCGTCTCGGTGAGGCTGAGCGAGCTGGAGAACTCGGCGCGCTCGGCGATGGACAGGTACTGCTTCTGGCGGAACTTGCGCTCCAGCGCCAGCAGCTGAGCGGTGGTGAAGGGCGTCCTCGGCTTGCGGTTGGTCTTGTGCTTGCGCAGGGTGCAGGCCGGGGGGCTCAGCCGCCCTAGGGGGCCGAGAAAAAGGCAGGGGGTTAAGAGAGCGGCGCGGGAGTGTAATCTGCCCACAAAGTAGTAAGAGTGGTCAATAACAATACCAGCTATTCGTTTTCGTGGAGCATCTCGGTGCCAGGCACTGGGAGAGACACTCGGAAAAGGTTTTCTCCAGTGGCCACACCCCGCGGGGTAGACGTTCCTGTCTACTTCTTGCAAATGAGGAAACAAAGATTCCAGGTGAAACAGACGCAGGTTCAAGGCCCGAACTTAACTGGGAAGAGGCGGAATGCCTTCATGCTAAGTGGCTGCTCAGGAGGGCCTTCCGCGGCTGGTGTCCGAACGGTAGGTGTTAATAAGGTTGATGGAACACGCAGAAAAGGCCCTGCACCCAACCCAAGATCACATCTAGTTTCATGAATTGGCTAAACATTTATCTGTGCACACCAAGCCTTCAGCGCTAGCGTTGGGTGGCATCCAACCCGGATCTCCAAATTCCACTCTTTCCCTTGGAACAGCATGTTCCTACAAGGTTCTGAGGGCCGTCCCTGGGGACCCAGAGGTGGAGCAAAGCCGGCTGTCAGGCGGTCAGGGAGGTGGTACCACGGCCATATCTCAAATATATGAAGTGCCAGTGGGGGGGGGGGTACTTCTGATTGTCTCGATTGTCTCAATGGTCTCTTGGATCTCTCCCACCCCCAGCGCCTTGGCCCTCTGGACACACACAAATGGGAGGGGCGCCGGGGGGGGGGGGGGGGGGCTGCAATCACTTCTCCACCTGTGTCTGGGTTTGCAGAGATCAAAGGTGCCAAGCTTTTTCTTAGGGCTTCAAAATATACTTCAAGGATGGGAGGTGAGCGAGCACCTCGAGAGAGGGTTCCCGCAGGTCTGAGACTGAGTCCTCTGGGCCAGTCAATCCCTGCCACACAGGGCAGCCGTGGCCAGATAAAACATAGAACAAATTATTTCCAGGACAACGGGGATCACAAGGACTTTGGGGTCTGGGTGGAGGCCCTAACTGAATTCCCAAGTCCCGGAAAGGCCGCTTTCCCTACCCAGCAGCTTCTTCCCTTGGGAAAAATGAATTCAAGTCCAGAATGTTTCACCATGCGGGTTTTGCCTAAGCATGCATTTTTTCGTTGTTTGTGTGTGTGTGTGTGTGTGTGTGTGTGTGTGTGTGTGTTTTAATGATCCTTTGGGCTCACAGACCACCAGGATATGAGTCAAACGAAACCTCGTGTTAACATCCCCCCTTCTTCCCTGCTCCAGGCCATTGAGAGTCCGGGAAGCAGTTGGCCCCCGACTCGCTTTCCGCCTGGCTGCCCGAGGGGCGGGCGCCGAGGAAAACGTCACTCCCTTCGGTAGCGACAGCACAGCCCTGGGCCACCTTCTCCAGCCCTTAGGCCCAGGGAGCGGTTGGCCTTTCAAAGACGTTTAATCCCTAGATAAAAATCATTCCTCAGCATCACGCCATTGAATTCGGGTTGCTATTATGCCGCGCAAAATAATCGGAGGAAACGAGGAAAACTTGGGAATTTCCCGTGCTCCTGAAATATCTCCGAGCGTGTTTGCTGGGCAGAGAAGCCGGGGGGCCATGAGGCCTTGGAACGACCCCGAACGCGCCTTTGACGGCTGGAGTCCGCTTCAATGGGCCCAGTCGGCGAATTTGGGAGCTTCCCACCGCAAGGGAGGGGGCGCCTCCCACTAATTGACTTGGTGCCCCGCCCCCTCCACTGGAACCTGAGCGCCCCCTCCCACTAAATGACCCATCCACCAGGAGCACTAAGTATCTGCCTGAAACTTGAAGGGGGAAGGGGGAATCTTGCAAGAGGTTAAGAACCTCTGGGAAAAGAGATACTTTAATGCGGGGGGTGAGGGCAGTCTTCTACGAGAAAGTGAAACTCTGAGCGCAGGGAAGATGTCCGCACCACTTGGACCCACCCGTAGGGATAACGGCGAAGTAACAGGGTTTTGGGGGCAGACTGGGAAGTGGGGACTCTTGGGGTCCTTTGACGGGGGCTGGAGGCGAGGGTGCCCAGACACCTGGCCCTACAAGTTAACTGCCAGCCGCAGCGTCCCCTGGCCAAGGCGAGGAGCCCGCGAAAGTGGACCGAGAGCTGGGTTTCAGCCAGGCCTCCACCCCTTTAGCTGATGCGATTGGGGAGAGGAGTAAACCCGGGCCTCCCCGCCAAACCCTCTGCAGCACCAGCTCCAGGTATCCAGCTGCAGGTACGCAGCCGCTGGAGACAAGCAGGCGCCGGCGCGCGGCCTGGCGCCCTCGGGTCCCGCACCCCCGCCCGGCCCCCTCCCCCGCCGCCTGGGTTCTGGCTACTTACTGGCCGGGGGCGGGGAGAAGCGGGGGCTCTGCATCCACGGGGTCCTCTCGGGCTTCTCGGGGCTCTCGGCTTTGACCAGCGCATCTTCTGGCAGCTTGAGAAGTCCTCCCACCGAGAAATGGCCCAGCGGCCGCGGCGAAGACGGCGCGTCAGGGGCTCCCAGCGACCCCGGCCGGGCGCCCAGGGGCGGCGCAGAGCCGCCCGCCGCCTGTGCGCCCTCGGAGGCCACCAGGGCGCTCTCCTTGGCCCCGGGCTTCCTGTGGTCGGCCATGAGCGCCTCCACGCTGAAGGGCAGGAGTGAAGGGGACACTTTGGGCTTGGCCCCCTCCTCGTCTGCGCCCATGGCGGCCGCCGTGGCCGCGGTGGCGCTGGGGGCCTGGCCCCCGCCTCCCCCCGCCGGCTTGCCGAAGGCGGAGTCCTCCACTTTGACACCGAGTGGCAAAGAAGTCATGTCAGCAGCCGGGGCCATGCAGAGCCGGGCCCCCCCTCCAGCCGCAGCACGGGCCAGCCGCCGGGCATGGGCTTCGGGCGGACTGGGAGCGCGGCCGGCCTTTGGGAGCGCCCGGGGCCCTGGCCC